CAGTGGTGTTGTAAGCATCTCAACACTGGCAGGGGTCTCTCTGTGGTTTCTCTGGCTTCCGAGGTCTTGTTGCATCCATGTGGCTTGTCTTCTGCAATGTCTCCCAGGGAGTGGCAGAGAGAGAAAAGTGTCTTCTGCCTCCAAGAAGGAAGAACCAGATTTCCCAGAATTCTCAGGAGAAGGCCATGCCCATACAGACATCTCATTGGCTACCTCCAGATTGATAGCCTAGACTCCATCCCTACACTCTTAATCCTTAAATTGACAACAGATTAGGGGACTACCACAGGTTTTCTGAGGCTATCAATCCATAGAAGCAGACAGCTTTTTCCTCCCTCTTCCCACCCCCGCAAAGGAGCAATTGGTTGGTTTTGAATTGTCAACCTTGCAACAAAATAGAAGAAGACACTCAGAAAAATGGATGGACACAGTGGCTGCAACAATGGGCTCAAACATAACAATTGTGAGGATGGCGCAGGATGGGGCAGGGTTTCCTTCTATTGTCCATACGGCCATTGAGAGTTGGAACTGACTTACTGGCACCTGACAACACCCTTCTTCATTGATACAAAAAGGTCAAGTGCATTCTGGCATGCCCAGCTTTTTCACGTCCATATCCAACAAACCTTCCAGGGCGATACTGGGTGCTAGGATCTGGGAAGCATCCATTTAGGGAACTGCTTCTTTATTTTTAAAATCATTTTATTGGGGGGCTCTTATAACATTCCATACATCAATTGTATCAAGAGTATTTGTACATATGTTGTCATCATCATTTCCAAAACATTTTCTACTTGAGCCATTAGTATAAGCTCCTCTTTTTTCCCTTCCCTCCTCCACCTTCCCACTCTCCTGAATCCTTGATCTGTTCTTTTTATTTCATATCTTACACTGTTCATCCCCCTGAGGGGTGGGCTATATATCCAACCTTGTGATAGACTCCCCTTTCCCCCTCCCTGACCATCCCCCTACTCTCATGATATTGCAACTCCCACTACTGTTCCTGAGGGATTTATCTGTCTTGAATTCCATGTGTCAAGAGCTCTTATCTTTACCAATGTGTGTTCTTCAGGCTAGCCAGATTTGTAAGGTAGAACTGGGTCATGGTAGTGGGGAGGGGGAGGTGGGTGGGAAGGAAGCATTCAGGAACTAGAGGAATGATGTGTTTTGTCCATGCTATAGTGCACCTTGGTTGAATTGTCCCTTCTGCGAGGGGATATCCAACTGTCTGCAGGTGGACTTTGGGTCTCCACTCCAACCCACCTCGTTCACATCAATATAATTGTTTGTTTTGGAGCTTTTGATACCTGATCACACAGGCTGGTGAGTTTCTTCCATGTGGGCTTATTTGCTTCCTTGCTAGATGGCTGCTTATTTGACTTCAAGTCTTTAAGACTCCAGACAGTACATCTTTTTGATAGCCAGGCACCATCATCTTTCTTCACCACATTTGCTTATGCACCCATTTTGTCTTCAGCAATCATGTCAGGAAGGTTTCAGCAATTGTGTTGGGAAGGTGAGTGAGATAGTTTATTGTGCCAGCCTGGCCGATAAACACAAGTGGGATTAACTGAAGGGCAGAGAGATAAATGGCTTGGTGAGCCTCGCCTTTCTTGTCTCTCGCTCTGTGATCATTGGACCAGTGTGCGGCTGCCTTGCTTGTTCTGTGCCTCAATTTACAGGCTACACTACCTGTGGGATGCCTAGCCTGTGGACTGTGTCACTGTAAGTTGAGGTCCCTTTAGGACATCTCTGGAGCTGGGGGCTGGCGGTTGGTGACCTGCCTTGTGATTGACTGCTGTGCTGACATAGCCTAGCTCTCTCTACAAATAGAGGAAGATCTGGCAGCAGACTAGACTTGAAGGACTGCTAGTCTCTCACAACTCTCTCTCATGGGAGTGAGTTGCATTGAGCCATTTGGTAGCGCTTTATAATTTAACTGTTTATTTCTTGTATTATATATTTATCTGTATATGATTTAACAGTTCATTTCTTGTTATATGTCTAATTATCTTTATAAATAAATATATTAAATTATCAGCGATTTGGTTTTATCTCTCTAGAGAACCCTGTCTAACACAGTGAGTATAAAAGAGTGCCAGCTTATTAGATCAGTGTTCTTGTGTTAAGGGAGGCCTTGAGTAGAGGTCCAAAGTCCATCTGCTATCTAATACTTAACATATAAATATGTGTACATTGTCCTCTATCCCTTTCATTATAAATTAATATGTTTACATATGTGCATGCCTAGAGCTATACCTCTATAAGTAGCTTTTACCTTCCTATTTCCTTTGTCCTGCCCCACTATCATGCTCATCCTCCATTCGGCTCTCAGTAATTCCTTTCGGATACATTGCTCTTGATTAAACCCCACCAAGCATTATACGTCCGCTTCACCATCAATTTTAGATCTCTTGTCCCCTTATTTCTGAGTTTGTTGGCTCCCCACTCCCATCCCCCTCCTCTCCCTTGACCCCACGCCCTGGAAACTGTTTCTTTTGAAGGAGGTCCGGGGGTCAGTCCACGTTAGAGCCATAGAGACCAGTCAGGACTAGGCTGAGCTCCCGACCACTGTAGGCTGAGAGTGACTCTTGGATTTAGTTCTCTGTCTTCATGGACCTCCAGAGACACCTCAAACGAAGGCTCTTTCCTCTCTTGAATGTGAGTTGTACCAGATACTCCAGCCGTGTTCATGTCTACAGTCTCTAGAACAAGCATAAATCCCCTCTCTGTTGGTGGCTCCAGAATGGTTGCTATCCCTTTACTTGATTGTGTCTCTCTTTCCACTGGAAGTTGTGCACTGATATCTACAGGGCCTTGACTAAGACATTTATCCTCCTTAGCTCCCTGTAGAGTAGAAGTCTTGCCTGGAAGTTTCCCTGCTTCTACTTTTAAGTGTGTTTCTCTTATCTGCTCTTTTGTCTTTTAAAAACAAAAGACAAAATAAAATAAATATTTTATTTTTAAACAGCTACAAATGCTTTATACAATATTGCAACATAAAATCCCCATAAGAGAAATGTGACAAAATGGGAATGATATAGAAAGGGTTAAAGTGATACAAATTCACCCAACAAATATTGAACTACAAGTTGCAAGAGGTAGATTACTTTTGAAAGTTGAGAAAAAAGCAAAACCCAAACCTAAAAACCAACATCAATAAAAACATAGCTGTTTTCCACTACTTCAGTCATTGATTTGGGGGTAGGGGAGGCAGGCGACTGCATGGAGAAATGGCCCTTCGATGGTGAGGAAAGAGGCCAGTCTATTGTTTTTCATCTCAATTAGAGATGAAGTGTGCAACCTGATACACGGTGCGTCTGTATTTATGCGCAGACAGACATCTACACAGGCCCGGAGTAGTCCTGTGCACTGATGCTGCTGTTCTTGCCTTCTCCCTTTTGCTGCCCTTCTATCTGCAGTCCCACTGTGGAACATTCTACTTTCCGTCAGCCATTACCAGTGCCTCCTAATGCTTCTTTATCCATCCTTGTCCTGTCTCCATCACAGCTGGCCAGATCAGAGCTCCAGGCCTTCAGAGCGTTGTTTTCAGCAAGATAACAGAACATGTATAATCCATGAGAGTATTCTGAAAGTATTCCACTGTTTCGGAGCACAGAAGAGACCCCATATCTCAAAGATTAAATGGTAAATTAAATTCAAGGAGGACATTTGTTAAGTCTTCAACAAGACACACATGAGACAAAGGCAGATCATCAGTATGAACAGACAATCACCATGAGACCCCAATGATGTCCAAAGATTTGGAGCGCACCAGGGATAAATAGAACCCGGGAGGACAAACGAAGCGGTGGGAGGAGCATGACCTGCAGCGATGCGTCCATCCCAGCTGCAGGTGGGACTTCAGAAACAAGAATGAGATCACCGTCGTCGGGACCCTGACAGCATGTTGCACAGCGGAGTCTACAAGACCGGTCCATGGCCCTGCAACCAAGGCAGTCAGGGGATGACTCGTGATGACATGGCTCCAGTACCCCAATCTCTATCTAGGACACACCCAGGTGAGCCCCTGAGGGTGGCTGCCCCTACCTGGGCTGGTTAGGAAAGCAGAGTTATCTGCTTTCTAATGTATCCTGCCCCAGGGCCAGCCTGATCACGGTCCTGGTTCATTGTCAGAAGGAACTGCATGGAGTCTTAATCCATCTGGGGCTCCGGAAATGCTTGGGGGCTTTCACAGTTACACACAGCCTTCTGTAAGCCTCTCAAAACCAAACTCACGGCCAAGAGGCTAGTCGACTCATAGGGACCGTGTCCAACAGGGTAGAACTGCCCCTGGTTTTCTGAGACTGTGTGTGAGAGTAGAGAAGTCCCATCGTTCCTCCATACAGCACACAGTGGTTTCTTCTGTTTAACAGCCAGCGTGTCCCCCACTATTCCACCAGGGTGCCCTTTGTAAACCTAGTGCTCAGAATTTAAATTCTAGCACACCGCTTAGTCTCGGACTGTTTTGATAAGGGGCTATTTAACCTTTAAGGAGTGGTTATCAGTGTTTCCCAAAGGGGTGATACCACCCCCTTGAGGGGCTGCAACAATCCAGGGGGGGCTACAAAAGCAGATACCTACACTTTACCCTGGATCATGAGCTATAGTACATATTTTTAATTACGAAGGGGGGGAGGGGAGTTTGAGTAAATTTTTTTTTTTTCTGAAAAGAGGCAGTAGGCCAAATAAGTTTGGGGATCTATGTAGGGCACCATAGACTTGGGGTATGTCCTTTCCATCATACCAAGCATGCAAAGCCCAAGTATCGGGTAGATATTACCCATGTGGCACGTTATCACTGGTCTTTCTTTTCAAAGAAAGTTTGAGGAAGACTCCAGGAAATCACCCCCTCGTGGTGATTAATAACGATTCCTCTCATTATTAATCATGGTCCTCTAAAAGAGCTCCAGCTGGAGGAGGTGAGCAAGGAGGCGATAAAGGAGTCCTTGGAGTCAGTCCATCTCACAGCCTGAGGCCGGCACTCGTGATCAGCTGAGTCACACCATTTTGGGATTAGCCAGCTGCACTTTCTGTCTCAACAATAAAAAGTCTTGCAAAACGGCTGGCATGTGAGACAGAGGTATCCAGAACGTTTGGGCATCTTTGCCAGGCGTGTAACGGGTCTTAGGGAAGAGACTGGTTAAAGCGTGGTCCATGCACTCTACCACCAGGGAGAGATCCAGATTCACGAAGGAGGCCGAGCGCTTCAGTTTTTCCAGACCTAGAAGCAGACACACACAGTTACTCGCTGGGAGAAGGGGAAAGGAGAGGTGAGGATCGAGTGGGAAGGAGAGCATGCGCCTGAGGGAATTGAATTTGCCGCCATCACTGAAGCCCATTGTCCTCCGGAAAAGATGTAGCGGGCCTTCTCTGCTTTGGTGGCCCTGGAACTTAAAACATACAGTAGACACTTCTAGAAGGAGAACAGTGCTTTTAAAACCGATTGTTTAGCCTGCGTGCCAGAGCTTCTGATTCAGTAAGTCGGGGGCGGGGGTCCCAAATTGTGCATCTTGAATGTTTCCAGGGGAGGCTGATGCACAAGCTGTGAGAAGCATCGATTCAAAGCAGTGAGAGAAAGAGAACGTTCATAATGGTCACGAGGCTCTTGAAGTTAGGGAGTTGTAGATTTGATTCCTAATTTGGTTTTATGGGTGTGTTGTGTTTATAGGAAGGAGCCCTGGTGGCATAGTGCTGATGAATTGGGCTGTGACCCGAGTGGTCGGCAGTTTGAAACCACCAGCCACTCAGCGAGAGAGATGGGCTTTCTACTCCTGTAAATAGTTACAGTCTTGAAAACTCACTGGGCAGTTCTAAGCTGTCCTGAGTGGGCATCCATGCGATGGCAGTGGGCTGAGGATTTTTGGTTTCGTTGGTGTTTATAGGGAAGGTGCGTGTTCACTTGTGGGTGGGTGTGGGTCTGCATGCACTCCTAAAGCCCCTATAATTCAAAGAATAATGACAGAATCACTCCAACTACCCTGGCTTGGGATGCTCAACCATTCCAGTTCTCAGGCACATAAGTGTCTTTAAAAACAGCAGGTTGTCACGGAGCTGGTAGTGGCCTGGAGTGTTCCTCACATACTCTTAACCCCGCCTGAGTTGTCTCTTCTCCAGAGAAAATGCTTGATCTGAGAGCCTCCGTCTTAACTTCAGGTCCCAGTAGCCAAGTCCAAAGAGCCCGATTCATTGCTCTTGTAAAGATTTACAGTCTCAGAAACCCTATCTTGGGTCGCTGTGAGCCAGACTCCATGACAGTGAGGGCGTTTTCCCTTTCCATATGCCTCAGGGACTATTTTAAACCTCCATCCTAGAAAATGAAAGGTGGCCCTATATCTGGAGTCTGTATTGGGATTGTGAGTCTGGCCAATGGGCAGACTTGGAAAACCCTGTTAAGAGCAGCCAGCACAAAACTGGGCTCCATGCTTTTTGGGGCCCCCAGACAGACCCCATGAACTGGGACCACGGCAGCAAATATTTGGAGAAGAAAGCTGGTGACAAATTCATAGGTGTTTTAAAAGTAAGTCACCAGTCAAAAAGAAAGGTCTTTTAAATGAAGGATTTTATTTCTGAAGTCTTAATCAGTCGTAGACAGAATCTGCTTGGAACCTTCTAAAGCAGTGAGTGAGTAAGAAACAAAGCATTTAATGGTGGCTATGGGGACATAAGGGGCTGTTAACCACAAGGTCAGCAGTTCAAAATCACCAGGTGCTCCATGGACAGAGATGTGGCATTCACCTCTCGTAAAGAGATAGAGTCTCAGAAACCCACAAGGGGGCAGCTCCTATCTATAGGGTCTCCAGGAGTCAGACTGGACTGGATAGCAGTGAGGTATTTTGGTTTTTGGTATATCACTGTGATGAGGGGGCATTTGACGAATCAGACATTCTAGCTGATACACTTGGTCGCTCTCTCTCTCTCTGTCTCTCTCTCTCTCTCTGTGTTCTGGTAGAGGCAGGGGGGCTAGTCAACAATTTAAAAAAAACTCTCCATTTTTTAAAAACCCAAACCTAAATTACTGGGCATGAAGGTGTGAGAGGAACAATGGTGCAGCAGACTTTTCTTTGAGCTCCACCTTGAGAATGTCCTCCCAGACCTTTCCGTAAATGACCAACCATGGAAATGTACTAACCCTCACGCTAGCCAGACTGAGTAACCCAAGTTAGATAAAGCAAAGCGCCTGAGAGAGAGCTAGTGGACTTTAACAAGGCCAGGGAATTTGAGGCAGAAATGGGGGTTGGTGACAGCAAGTTTAGGGTCTGTCATGTCGCGTTCCCACAGTAGTGCGGTTGCTGCTGTGGCATCCCAAGGAGTGGATTTCGGCTCATCGAGAGGCTGTGGGACAGGGTCAAGATTCACAAGCAGTTTGAGCGGTCTTTCTCCTGGAGAACCACAGGGTGGGTTCGAACTAGCAGCCTTTCGGTTACTAGCCAAGTGTTTCACTGTTGCCCCTCAGGGTTCCTTCACTGCTGTTCTGGGCCCCAGGATATCAATAAACGCTAACGTCAGGCTGCCTGGGTCCAGATGTAGCTCGCCATAGCTGTTCAGGTCCAGCCCAGTTGCTCTTCTGGGCCTCTGTTTCTGTAAACTGGAGCAGTAATAGCATCTCTTCCTAGGGAGTCCCTGAGGGTCTTAAATGGGAAGGTCCAGGTAAAGTACTTAGTACCACAGTAAATGTTCGCTGTGTGTCAGTCATCACGAGCTAATTTTTATTATCTCTCCACCTCACACCTAATCTCTTGGTTTGCTTGGTTGTAATCTAGTTAGGGTCAGAGTGTGAGGCATCTCTCCTTTGGCAGCTCCCTAAAGCTGAACAGTGATGAGCACCGGTTGGTGCTTAGCAAAGAGGAGACCGTGTAAAGGTGAAGGCCATGGGGCGAGCCTGCCTGGATTCAGGCTCTGGCATGACCAGGAGGAGTTGCATAACCTTGGGTAGGACACTTGACCTCTGCTCACTTTTCCAACAGTTCTTCTAAAGAGTGAATCATATCATTCATAAGGTGCTTAGAGTAGAACGTAGTAATTAGTAAGGGCTCACTAAATCTTTACGGACACTCAGAGAAGCAGTAGATGGCAATGAACTAAGGTCTCTATTAGTGTTTTACTCTGAGCACCTTGTTGCACCAGCTACAATGGAGGCTCTTCCATGCTCTCTAGGACTTTGAACCCAAGAGGGGCCCCTGGTCCACCCCAAAACTCACTTTTTTCAATATAACCTTCTCCATACTGCTGCTTGATGTCTGGAGACAGATGGTTCCAAATGGTGCACTTTTTCTCGTTGGCCTTCATTGGATCTGACAGGCCCGTTCTGAACAACCCTGGTTCGATGCAGGCGACATGCACACCGAATGCTCTCATGTCTCGTCTGCGAAGAGAGCCCACGGGAGATGGTTAGTCCAGGTTTATTGGGAGAACGTTTGCCATTGGGGAGACTATTTTCTTACCCGTCTTTTTATGGGATCACAGAATTGGGTGCCGTGGAAGGAACATCTTATTCTACGCTCGCATTTTGAAAATAAAGAAATTGAAGGTCAAGGCGGTGAGGCGAGGGCGGGTTGGTAGCGGAACATGAAAGGGACTTGGATTGGACCCCTCCCACCCCTTCAGCCAACGTTCTTCTCTGCACCACACTCCCTCACTAAATCAAAGAGCGTCGGGATTAAGGACCGGAGTAGGGTCGCTATGAGTCAGTGTCCTCATCATGGGCCAAGAGTTGGTTTTTATTGGCTCTCTTCTTAGTCCTCAAAGTACTTTCTGGCTAAATGAACTAATGACCATCCTGGAAGGACAAGTTGTCCTCCATTCTAGGAATGCCAGGAGGCTGCAGCACACATGAGGATGTGCGGCAGGACCCAGGGTGACAACCCTTACGTGACTAACCAGCTCTGATGCCACTCAGCACGTTCTTTCTGCATGTTGCTGCAAAAACCCTTCTTGCTTCCTGGGCATTTAGGTTTTAGAAGAATAACGCGGCTCGTCCATACCCTTTTACAGCAAACCAGTAAATGAATAATCATCTCCCGAATTTAGTTTGTATTTCCCCAGGCACAGGTAAGGAAGTAAATATTCATTTTCACAAAACTTTTCACCATCAGAGGCTTTAATTTTTCCTCCTAGTGGATTTACACTATGATTTCATTTATCTTAGATTCTTCTTTTTAGCAACATAACCTATATGTAATTTGGAATCTGTTTTACTTAAAAAAAAAACAACACCAAAAAACAAAACAAAAACATATGAACCTCACTTGGAAGACCCTGAAAGGTGTGTTGCTTGTAAGAAACTAAGAAAAAAGGGTTAATCCTAAATGTACTCACTCGTAGGCTGGTCTAATTAGGATTCTGAAAGGAATAAGGTTAAGGGGACATTTGAGAAGATATGTCTCACAGATGCTCTGAAAATAATGTAGAATCTAGAGACAAATGTTCTAAGCCAAACAAAACGAAGTTTACCAGGGACGTAGCACCAGTGTGCTTGTAAGGCGAACACAACTTTAAAGGTTCCAGCCTTCTCCCAACCAAACTGTTGCTCCTTCAGCCCATCCCCCCCATCCTACCATCTATATGTAGAAATTCTGGGGCTGCCACAGGACCTTCACCTGCATGCATGAATACCTGTTCCATGGCTTACAAAGAAATAACAACTCTTTACTCTGCCTCTAACCACAAGGTCAGCAGTTCAAACCCACCAGCCACTCTGTAGAAGAAAGATGGGGCTTTTACGCCCATAAAGATTTACAGCCTCAGAAACCCACAAGACAGTCCTGCTCTGTCCTATAGGATTGCTAGGAGTCTGAACCGACACAATGGCAGTGCGTCTTTATTGTGGTTGTTGTATTCATTACCTTTAGGTACAGTATAGCTTCACTACAAACAGAATCCTAAAAATCCTTCAGTTGCAATCTCCATAGAAGCAAAGGTAGTAAATCTCTCAGCCACGAACATATTCTAATACTGCTGCTTATAGAGTAGAACCAGTGGGGAACCATGGTCTTGCTACTTAAAGTGTGACTCTTGGACCATTGCTATCACCTGGGGGGTTGTTCAAACTGGACAATCTTAGACTCCACCCCAGACCGACTGAATCAAAGTCTCCATTTTCATAAGGTTCCCAAGTCAAATGCGCACGAATGGTTGGGAAGCACTGCTCTATCACGTCAGCACTGGGCTTTCCCGGGAGCACAAACCTGTAAGGGATCAAACAGCAGAGTGGAGTCATCCTGCCTTTCTTTACCTTGGTGGAATCTAATTCTTTGTTAGTGAATGAAACCGAAAACCATGGCTTAGCACTTAAGCCCTAAGATGCTTCTGAGACAAACACTAGTTAAATAAATCAATAGATGAGCACAAGGGAACAATTTCTATCTCAGTTCATCTTCTCTTCCTTACCACAGCCCCACTCAGCTGGACATCATTTACCTGTTCTTCCAGACCTTTTCTCCATCCCTCTGCCTACTCTACATGCCTGCGGCTGACCTGTATTATAACGACATTCTGTCTTCTGTTGGGTACATCAATCGGAAGTACAGACAGCAGATTAGAAGGAAGGAAGAAAGAGAGGTTCGGCCAGTGATTGCTCCTGTAGGTTCAACATGAGTTAATTTCAACCCACAACTGAAGGTGACAGACTGTGTGTCTCTTGATTCTGGAAATGTCCCTGTCTTCTCGCACCTTCTGTTCTGCAGGGTAGAAATGCCCCTGCTTTCGTTAGCCCTCAGATACTAAACTATCCTTTGGGATTTCCCTGAACGTCTACAATAATCTCTAAAGTAAACTGCTCCATTTACTCAAGTTTAGTGGCAGAGGGTTCAATGATACCACTAGTTGCATTTGGAGGGTTGGGGGCTTTGAACGGATAGTGATAGGTTCTGGCTTCTGGTTCCAGGTAAGATGAATTTAGTCCTTTTGTCTCTGGATACAGCTACAAAGCACAGTCAGGATGCATAAAACAGCTTCTTTAGAATGGTGAAGGAGCCCTGATCATGGAGCGGGTATGTGTTGATTGGGCTTTGAGCCACAAGAATGCTGAAAAGCAATGAATAGTAGGTGAGGTAGGGAAGAAGATCAGAATTTGAAGCATCACTGAGCCAACAGTGAGCTTCCTTTTCTTCCACCAGTCCGATAGCCCCTGGTCTAAACGCAAGTCCACCCGAAGCTCAGAAGCGGAGAGAGTTCCACAAACATTACCTCTCCTGGACAGCGAACCCCCACAGAGCTCCTGTAGCCTCTGCTGGAGGCACAGACAAGCAAACAGAAAAGCCCAGCTCCGTTGCTGTTGAGTTGATTCTGATTCATGGTGGTTCCATATGTTACCGACTAAAACTACGCTCCATCGTTTTTTGGCTGTAACCGTTAGCAGTGCTGGTGGGTAGTGTGATTGTTACTGTCAACTTGACTGAGCCAGGATTCTCAGTGGTTTGGGAGTCGAGGCCTCCGCCATGATGGGATCTCACACGGCACTAGCACCTCCGTGATGGGATCTCTGTGAGCAGCAAAGCAGTTGTAAGAAAATTTCAGGAGGACTTCAGCCTCCTTCATAAGGTCGCTCCCTGATGCAATTGAAAGTTACATTTTCTTTGGGGGTGTGGCATACTCCTATTTAAGTGGACTCTGTGGGAGGGATTACTCTCTTCTTGCTGGCATGGATCCTGCATTTGTTGCATCAGCCTCTGGTTCTTTGAACTTGAACCAAGGGCCCATGATATTTCCTACTGGCTCTGGGAGCAATCAGTGTCTTGCCGTGTTGCCTGTTGAACCTGGTTGGATTCATCTGCCTCTGCCTTCACCAGCCTGTGGTCTTCCTCCAGATAAACATCTGACTCAGGGGTCCTCAAACTTTTTAAACAGGGGGCCAGTTCACTGTCCCTCAGACCCGTTGGAGGGCTGGACTATAGTTTAAAAAATAACTATGAACAAATTCCTATGCATACTACACATATCTTATTTTGCAATAAAAAACCAAATGAGGCAAAAACACCTGGCAGGCCAGATAAATGTCCTCGGTGGGCCGCATATGTCCCGCAGGCTGTAGTTTGAGGATGCCTGAATTCTGACCCGTGGACTTGAACCACACTGGACTTAACCACTTCTACAACTGTGTGATCATCTATCTATCTATCTATCTATCTATCTATCTATCTATCTATCTATCTATCTATCATCTATCTATCTATCTATCTATCTATCATCTATCTTCCAGCTATCATCATCATCTTCTATATATAGATCTATAGATCTGCATTCTCTAGAGAACCACAGATGAATTCACACCACGAACCTTTATGTTAACTGTTCAGTGCAAACTGTTTGTCCCACCTCAGGACCTTCTGAGAATCAGGCAAGGGGAGCCCTAAAATTCAGAGATAATGGGGAACCCCCATTTTTCTTTTCTTTCTTCTCTTTAGTCCATAGGCCCCAGATAATGGTGTCGCAGTGGCAGGAACAGCACACTCGTCATAGATCGGGGCCTGTGGGGACTCAGCATTCTGAAGGATTGTACATGTGAAAACATTAGGACTGTTCTGGTTCCAAGAAGGTAAGAAGAAACCGTATTTTTTGTTTCTCTCCTTTTTCCACCACCTGGCTCCATAATGAATTCAGTTGTGCAAGGCATTGCCATAGCAGGGTAAGCCAAGGCTTAGCTCTGGAGCTAGAGAGAAGTCTCAAGGAACCAGAAAGTAGTAGGGGGAAAGTCAGGAACATGGACTGAACCCATAAGGTTATTTACGAACGCCATATGTAAATGCCTGGACCTGACTTAGAGAGCAAAACCACGAGATAGATCATCCTTCAGACCCCCGACCGGTGACTGTGTAGTGCACACGTGGGGCAGATCTGAATAGCACAGTCAGACTTTGAAAAATGAACAAACCTTGGGATCACATAGGATAGAAGCCTTGTGCCTTGAGGACAACCTGTTTGATTGTCTTCCAACACAGTAATATCAACATCCTCAATTTAAACAAGACCGAAATAAATCATAGTAGAACATCCCAAATCTCACTGTTTAATCCAAAATTACATGGCACACAAAGACCCAGGAGAAATCTGGACTTGCATTGCCAACAAATGCCAGTGTCAAGGTGACTGACCCCTATGCTCTAACCATCCCAGTCCTGAAGCACTTGTCATCAAACTGCTCTCCAACTTAGGGGCAAGCAATCTCCAAGTGAATCGGAAGTTAGAAAGCCTCAGCTAATAAATAAAAGGCATAACAACGAAAACCAAAGAAAACTTTAAGTCTAATAAAAGATTCATTGCTTGGGTCAAGAGCAGAACAGAGCTGGTGGAGGGAAGAGACAGCGCGTTTGCTTTACCTTAAACTGTCATTGAACCCTTCCACGGCGTACTTAGACGGACTATAACCTCCTCCACTGAATGCAAGTCGACCCCCAATACTGGAGACATTGACAATCCTCCCTTGAGCTTTTTTGACCAAGGGAAGCATATGCAGCGTCACATTGATGAGTCCAAACAGGTTCACTTCGATGGGTTCTCTGTAGTCCTCCACAGTCAGCCAGTCGGTGGGAGCCAGCACTCCAGTGACACCCGCATTGTTGATCAGACCCCAGAGACCTGGAACAGAGCACCACAAGGAGGCGTGGTAGTGGTCGTTGACGTACTCACCATAAACACGTACTTATATGGTCATCGTCCATAGAAATACAGCCGCGGCTTTTTATACTGGGGCTGTTTCCTCTTTTTAATCACGCTCCTGCTTTGAAATAAATACTGAGCAGTTTGGGGAAATGAGTGCAGAGGCTGTGGGAGGTTACGTGGAAGGAAGTGTTGAAGTTCTCTTACTGGGAAGAAACTTGATGTGACTCTTGCTGGTCTTGAATGTCGAGCACTAGTTCTGTGACAGAGACTTTCTGATTTTTAATCTCCGATGAAATGGGTCTATCTATTTCACCTATCTTGCCAAATGTGAAGGCCAAAAATATATTATAAGAGCTATCTGATGGAAGTAAACATCAGTCTACTTCATATTTATTTGGGTTAAAAATAAACAGAAGAGATAATTCACTGGGCTTTTGTATGATGAGAAATCATTTGTTAAAAGTTTCTGGAAGCATTACAAATGATCAGGAGTCTTATCAAATCATTGCTTTTGAAGTTCAGAGTATTAACTATCTGAGGAAGAGGTGAAGAAAAGAGCACATACCTTTTTCCCCTTTTTTACCCCCCCCAAATATTTTCATTCATGAGACTATTTCAAACTGCATTCAAGGTCTCTAAACTTATCTGATTCAGAATGCAGCTAGTAATCAGAACATGATGCAGAATTAGTGTCCAGTGATTACCACAAATACCCAAGGCACATATATTCAAATTTTCAGACCATTTACTACCTTTTACAATGAAAATGTGTGATCTCCGCAGCCAGTTTTGTAGTGAGATAAGGACACCAAGCCTCTAGATAACACTTTATGGATTGCCCCAATAGTCAGTAGAATTTATCCCCAAGTACCTTTGGTCCCCAAGGAACCCTGGTGGCATCGTGGTCACTAACATTGGGCTGTTAACC